GATTATGACAGTTCTTAATATAAAAGCAAAACAACTAATTTGAAACTGTAAAGTTACATATTGAAATCCTAACAGTGATAAACCAAACAAGACACAAATAAACATTCATTTTTATTGTGTGTAAGGGAGGTAAAGTTGCCTGCTGTTATTTGAAGTAAATATATTTTTGGAAAAATACTGCCATCGAGTGGTTAAAAAAAAGGTATCGTAATGCAGTTTTATTGCAGTAAAAAAAAAAAAATCAGCATTATGAAAACAATTGCAGAAGTGTGTTGTAATTATCTGCTTTTGAGGAAAAAAACAGGTTTATTTGAAACAAGTATGCTGAAATGGTAAAATTATTGTTTTTCAAGCTTGATTTTTCAGGATTCCCATCATCCCCGACTGTTTTCACTTCCTTAATGCATGCAGCCCTCTTCATGTGCTTTGATATATCCATGTGATGTCTACTTTATGGATGAAATATTCATATGACTGCTTAATTCACAGTCCACGTTTATTTTTGGAAATCTGAGGCTTCTAGTGAGAGAGAACTCTCCAGGTTCTGCATAAAGATGTGCCTCTTTCCCAGGAAGTCGAAAATAGATAGTGACAGGTAAAGAGCAAGCCAGGGATATAATAATAATCTTGGATGTGAGCCTCAGAAGGACTATAATAGTGAAAAGCATCAGAGGGCTGCTGTATTATTTTTAGCCCAGCTGCATGTTGTTATTATTTGATAGAACAACCAAAGGAAGGAGTACTATCTGTATTCTTCTTGTGCTTGCAGTGGATGCACACATTTGACCAAATGAAACACAATGTTTTGCAAAAAATATCCACAAATGGTTTAATACTTTTTAACACTTAAAACACAAACCGTAATGATGATTGGTTTTAAGTGATGGGCGAACACAACGTACTGCTTAACTGTGAAAAGAAAGGGACTGGATTTGTACTTGTTTGTAAAATTTATTAGGTTACCTGAATAGCAAGGTAGATTTTCCAATAGTGTTTAATTTAACCCTGGATCAGAGATCAGTCATAAAATATTAGTGAACTGACAGCATGAGGATCAAGTGACACCACAGGCCGTGGGGGAAGTTATAGTGATGTTTTGATTAGGTTTATAAAACAGCATTCCAGGCTCGAAACGTGTCAAAGAGCTCAGAAAATGGACAGAATAAACCAAGAGGAAAATGGGAGCTTAGGAGGAGCTGCAGAGATCTACAGCTCAGCTCAAATCTACCCTATATGCTTATAAAAAGTTAGTGTTAAAACAGTGCCTTAAAAGAGTCCCATCCACAGCTGCAAGCCTGCAGGTGACATGGTAAAAATATAGGAGGTGCTCTGGTTAGATCACATGCAAAATGTGTAAAGAGGAAAACTCATTACCCAGCACTCTGACCACACCAACCCCAGGATGACACAAAATCAGAGAGCAGAGGCTTGTAAACTTTTCAGCTTCTAACCTACAAAATGGCACCACAGTTGACTGATGACCGTTGGCTGGGTGAACACACATTTCTACAAAATCAGTTAACGAAGGGTGTATTAATAGTGCATACATCAACCACCAAACTAGATGGTTTTGTTCATTTTTATGTTTTTAGTCGAGAGTTTTATTGTCTCTCCGTCTGTGTAGAGGGTAACTTGAAAAGTTGAGAACAGATTTTAATTACATTTTACCAAAGGTGCACCTTAGTCCAAGGAACAACCCATTACATTGTGGTGATGAGCCACATCATAATCTGGATGCAGGAATTTTTTTAAGGATTCTTTAACATTATTTGGGGGAACAAGCTGCATTAAACCAGAGTAGCAGCAGGACTATTGACAGCTTCAGCATCAAACTCAAAAACAAAAATGGTAATGATCCAGATAGCTAAAAGTTACTGAAGAGGATTAGGGCCACTGAAAAAATAAAAAAAGTTAACTGATTTTTAAACTTTATTTCTGTAAGAAAAAAGTCTGAATCCTAAATTTAATCCCAGAATTTTAAATTTAATCTCAGAATTCTGACTTTTTTTTTTTTAGAATTCTGACTTTGATCTCAAATTCTGACTGAATTCTGACAGCTAGCAAATATATTAGCATCAAGCCGTAGCCATGTCTGTTTTAGAGACTAGCTCTCTAGTTTTAATCACCTTCTGCTCTTCCATTAATGAAATAGCATCACCAGGGACCCCTCGTGCACATAAAAATTCCCCTAATTCCGTAATTTTCCACCAGTGTGTTACTGGCCCTCCCAAACAACTCACATCTTTGTCAGTGAAGCTGAGTGCTTCCAAATTTCTTCCTTCATGGTGTTCATCTACTTTAAAAAATATTTAAAAAACAGTTAACTTTTTTTTTTCTTTCTCTCGGTGGACCTAATCCGCCTCCATAGTAGGTGTTAGTCACCATATGGGGCAAGATTTGCTGCTTGGTGGAGGTCTGTGCTCTCAGAATAATATTCTAGTTATAGATGTGTTCCCTGTACGAGGTTAGCACACAAACAGCAAACATTTCACCTGTATAAAGAGTTAGTAGCTTCAATCCAAACCACAGATGGATTTATACTCTTCCTTAAAACTAGAAACTAAACTTTTCAATTCCTTATTTTTAAATATGTTTTATATTCTATTTACGATAACATCCCTCACAGTTTAATTTAGTTGTATTATCATATGCTATTTAATCAATCTATTTATTTAATTTATATTTATTTATCATGAAGAACACATTTATATATTTCAAACATATATTTTAGAATTATTCTAATACTGACATTGATAGATTTAAATTTTCTTGTCTTTATGTATATTTATATTGTATATATTACCTTCACCTAGGAGGTTACGGTATGTTTTTAGGAGAGTCTGTGTGTTTGACTGTCTGTATACAAGATAACTTGAAAAGTTATGGATGAATTGTTATGAAACTTTTATCAGAGGTGTTCCTCATGCCAAGGAACAATCCATTCAATTTAGGCGAGGATCCAGATCATAATCCAGATATGGGAATTTTAAAAATATTCTCTAATGTTGTAAGATAGGGATGTGTGGTGGAACAAGCAGTTCCTCCCTAAACCAGAGGGTGGCAGCAGTGACTATATCAGCATCAGACTCAAAAAGTCTGGAGGTATTTTACTGAAGACAAAAACAAAGGAAATGGGAGGGTTGTTCATTTGTTTGTTGTAACAACTGAAAACTTATAAACAATTTGTATGGGAAAAAATTTACCAGAGGTGTGCTTCATGCCAAGGAACAATTCATTGAAATCTGGTAATGATCCAGATGATGTGTGTTTTACCTGTAGGTCCAAATCTGGAGCAAAATGTGCTGCTTGTCGGAAGTCTGGGCTCTCTGAGTGCTTTTCTAGTTAGTGATGCTTTAGGCACTTTAACATAAATGTTTATCATGTAATTCAGTTTCTGTGCTGAATATCAAGACCCCATGCTTGTTTATCAAGGATACCAAGTGGAGTCTCAGGGCCTCGTAACCCCTGGGCCCTCATCCTGGTCCACCTTGGGCGTGACCGGCCGCTTGGAGTGCACATGGAGCACAATGGCCTCTGGGGTTGGGCGCCTCAGGGACTGAGACCCTTTGGGATTTGGCCCCTCAAGGGTCAGGATCCGGATGTTCTCGACTGCCCTTCTCTGGTAAATATATCATCCCTATGTTTGCCCTCCTTGCATCCCAGTGATTTGGGGTGCCTCTAGATATCTGGGGCAAGGATTGCCTCTTTATCAGGCCCTGTAGGGAGAGTCTGGGTCCGCCCACACCTGCTATTAAGCATATTTTCTATCTGAAGAAGCTCTGTAAAATCTGTATACATGGACATCCCCGTTCAAGCTTTAAACTTTTAGGAGCTTTTAACAGGAAGGTGAAGTCCTTTTCACTGCCGACCCCCACCGCCTTTTACAAAATCTGCTTTTCACTCTTGAACAAATGCATAACTTATGAGGTAAACAGCTGATATATATCCTGTCTACAGATTTTCCTACCTGAGCTGTAGATCTCCACAGCTTCTCCGAAGTTACAATCTGCCTGTTTTACTGCACTGGTTAATGGTCTGAGCAATACTTTAGGTGGATTCTTTGTAGCTGGGGATCTTTTTTTTTAACACAAGTCTGATTTAAAGTTTGCCGACATCCTCAAATCTGTCTGTGTTGTTTTGTTAAAATCCTTTCTTTCAATGATGTTCTCCAACAAAAGCTTTGAGCCCTTGAGACAACAGCTCCATTCAGCCTGACTGAATCTACACAGTTTACAGATATCAGAGTAAAGGGATCAAATACAAATGCCACACTCTTTAGACTTCTGTAAAAACAAGTTTTAAACTCTGCATAATTTTCTGTCATTTGTATATATCATTTTGGTGATATATCGTGATATTCGGCTGCCCAATATAATATCGATCTTTCACTTCTTAGTATCGATTTTCAAAAAAAAAAATGGTTACATAAAACATTGATGGGAAAATGGGCTACCTCTGCACCACCACTATGGCAGAAAGCGCTGTGGAGCCCTTTAACTGTGCGTGCAACACCAAATCTGTATTTGAGGTAGTCACAGTGGAAGAAAACCCCAAACAATATGGATAATAATACCTAATCAATATTTTCTGATGAAAATATACAGCACTTGCTGTTTTATCTCATCATTTGATTTTGATAGCTGGGGAAAATATGGCAATATAGTGATACTGCAATATCGTGATAATATTGTATCGTGACCCAAATATCGCGAGACGTATCGAATCGCAACACTCATGCCAATACTCACCTCTAGTTCTGATATAGTCTGATCAAAGAATAAATCAATGAAAAAATGAAGGAACAATATCTATAAAACATTAATTTGAAATTAATTGCTCAGGGCGGCATGTATTATGACACCAGTTTCGCTTAACAGTTGTTCTTAACTTAAAGTTTGGATGTTAAACAATAAAATTTGCATTGGATTTGAATTGGTTTTATGGCTTTAACAGGTTTACCAGAGGGGCAACAGTTTTAAGGGGGGGGGGGGGGGGGGGGTGTTAAAAAGTGCACTCTTAAAAGTACTGACCTGATTGTTAAGCAGTCAAAATAAAAGTAATTCTACTGCACACATAGATGCATATAGTTGTTGATTGTACACACACGCTGTAATCTGATGTGCAATGCATAATAAAGGGAAATAGGGATTTTTCTTGGAAATCAAAACCCAGTTTGTTTTATGCTGCAATGTCTGTGGCACTGCACATGCAGTCCTATATCCTCCATGGCCCATTGAAGGCCTCTCAGTCTGCAAATGTTTCAGTGACGACGTCAGGACTCAAAAGTATCCGTTGTCATCATGGTCGTCAAAGATGGAATTGAAGGTCCTCGTGTCGCAGAACTTTGTAGGTGAGCCAGTAGAGCACATTAAACACCAGGAAGCTCATTGGGAACGCGGCTCGGGAGATGGTGTCAATCCTTTTGGCCTGTTCCACAAAACGTCGGCGGATTTCGTAAAAACCTAAACCTGGAGGTAGATCAGCAAAAACTGGCGTTGCATCCATCTCTGGCGCATTGGACAGGTAGAGTCCAATGCTCTGGAGGAGAAACCCCTGCTGCGCCAGCTCCTCTTCCTGGGAAACACAAACACAAGAACTAGCACAGTCACTGAGATTGGGGTCGAGCCAGCGACTGGCAATGAGGCAGCAGGACATACCCTGGCACAGGCACTGCACCGCTGGGTTACGCTCCCATGAGCAGAGTTGTTTCCTGGCGTGCTGTTGCCTTTCACCTTACCGTCACCGCCACCCTGCTGATTGTGAAAACACAGAAAATGACTTTTGATCACCAAACAGGATCTGCCCTTTCAACAGAAGTTATTCAAATATGTGCATGAATCCTGCAGCTACTGTCGCACCTCAACTCAAGAATTATTCATTTTGCAAGATGGTTTTGACCTATTTTACATCCCCTTTTCTTCCCAAATTATTTAATCTAAAGCCAGAAGAAGCTGAGAACACTGTCTGCAGTGAAACAAGGTGACTTGAATTAATTACAGGTCAGCGCTGTCTGTATTTCCCAGTAGCAGTGCATCGTGCAGCTGAACTGTGGCTCTAGTGTGGCTGGGTGCAGTGAATAGCAGGTGACAGCTGCCCGCGGGGCTGAGTGGGTGGGCTGTACTCACAGCTCTCTGCTGCTGCTTCTCTTTGAGCTTCTTTCTCAGTCTGAAGAACTCCTTGTGCTGGCGTGAAACGAAGTTAACAGCTGCGTACTCCAGCAGCGCAGCAAACACAAAGAGGAGACACACTGCCATCCAGATGTCTATGGCTTTGACATAAGACACCTGCCAAACCGTGGAGATCACATCCTCGGATTAATATTGAGAGTCTGTGAAAGCTGTTAACAATTCACTCTGCAGCAAAGCTGAAAAAGGCATTTTGATCTCTTAATGATGGTTGGAAGAACTGAAAGAAAAGCAGGTGTGTTTCCTTTTAAATAATATGCAGAAATGTTTGGGAGTTAATGATTTGTTAGAGCTGTTGTGTTTTCCAAATTTCGCGCTACATTCATGTAAGCTTGTGCTGAAAAAAAGGAAGACTCATTTTGACATAATCATTCACTGTGTGTCTTTGTCTGAGCACTTTTTTTTAAAAGAAAAGTCAAGTAAGAGTAGCGATGTTTATTAAGATATTTCTCAAGAGAAATAAAAAAACATGATTTTTGTGTCAAAAGGTTACTCAAGTAACTGTAACTGAGCAAATGTAACTAGATAGTACCCACCTCTGCTTAGTATTATAGAAATAAGAATAAGATTAAAAGCTAACTAAATCAACTGAGCTAAATTAGTTTACCTTCGTAAATAAAAAAAAGGAAATTAGTTTGCTCAGGACCTGATTAATAGAAGAATTTGATCTGTGCAGGGGGCTAAGGGACATTTATTAAATATTATATACGTACAATTTTGACCCTGTTGGATAAGAGGAAAGTTGTTTGCTGAATCATCATATCCATGAATACAGAACAACCCACTGTGTCCTAGAATAACTTGAATCAAAATAAGATCAGTGCACAGATTAAAACAAACCCTTCTGTATTTTCTATGCTTTATGCCACAGAGTTTTGGATACATAAACAACATTGTTTAATTTCAAGCTGTTAAACCTTTATTAAAACCGCTCAATGACACATTTATTAATGAATAATAAATGAAGATATAATACTAAAAGCACCAGTTTTAAATATTAGCCAAATAAATGTTCAAGTATGAAAATATTTATCAGAATTAGAGTGCAGTGATATACAAAAAAAAAAAAAGTTTTCATTGCTTAATTTCTTTTGTTGTGTATTTTTAAATGTGAAATTTCTTTCCTTTGCATTATGTTTGTCCTCGGTCAGGAAAAGGATTACTTGTGTTTGACATTCAGCCTATGCATTTATACCCAGAACAAGATATTTTCTTAGTTTTTTTTCCTGGTTTACACATCCTTTAGACCAGCGGTCCCCAACCTTTTTTACATTACGGACCGCTATATGTCAGACAATATTTTCACGGACCGGCCAGCGGGGGAGGGATACGATCAAGTAAAATGATACGACTGGCGTAAAATTAAATACAAACAGCATAAAAATAAAACAACAAGCCGGTCCCATCCTGCGTAATTGGAGACAATGACACATGAAGTGTGCTCCTAATGTCCAGTCTGCTCCGTAGCTTTGTTTTGGTCGCTCTAACCGCAGGAAATCCTGCTTCACAAAGATAGGATGTTATAGATAGGATGAGTCATGAACTGAATTAACCTGTGTCAAGAGGCACAGATGCACCGACTGATGTAATTGGGAGAGAATCCCGCAATTTTTTATATTTTTCAAAATAAAACATCACTGAGACTCTGATTGTTGATAAATTATATATATATATATATATATATATATATATATATATATATATATATATATATATATATATATATATATATATAGAGAGAGAGAGAGAGAGAGAGAGAGAGATAAATTATATATATATAGATAAATTATATATATATATATATATATATATATATATATATATATATATATATATATATTTTTTTTTTTTTTTTTTTTTTTTTTTTCTTTTTTTTTTTTTCTTATTTTATTTTTTTTCTTTGACCCACGGACAAGGATAAAAATATGTTGTTTTTCATAGGTATAATGGTTATAAAAAGGGTTTTCAGAAGAATATCAAATTAATTATATGGGCTATATTTTCTGGTATGATGATAGTCATTTAATAAGCTTCTGGACAACAGTTACTCAAAAAATATGCTGATGGAAATGTATAAAAGGTTTAAACTGAACAAGTGTTGCAACACAGTGTGGTGGTGTTGGCTGCATCATGCTGTGGGCTAGCCTTTATTTCAACAGAATCGAGAATCAAACTGTTTCACATGCTTAGTTTTGACCTAATTCTAAAGCTTTAGAAAGATTTAGAATGATTTTAATTTTCAGCACCATAAGAGTGAATAGAACAGATTTGAACCAACAGACGAACAGCAAACTAAGAATTGGATTATCATGAGCAGAGACTTGAAGTACACTGAGTCTCTGGTCCTCTGGGTGTTTCTGAACAAGAGATGTCATCACCAACCTTTTGTAACCCTGAGCTGGAAAATACCGTCAGTTAATATGGGATTCAGATTGGAATATAAAATAGTTGAAATATTTTTGAGGTCCTTTCAACAAATTTTAAGTTTAAGGATTTACACATTTATGAAACCATTTTTTTTTGTTTTGTTTGTGCTTTACTTATGGGAGAGAGTAGAATAATTCAATAATATGGAAAATCTAACAAATAGTTTTGTGTTTTTGTTTTTTGCTGCATGGTGGGAGCAGTGGGTAGCACTGTTCCCTTGCAGCAAGAAAGTTTGGGGTTTGATTCCTGGCCCAGGGTCTTTCTGCTTGGAGTCTGCATGTTCTACCCTGTGCACACGTGGGTTCTCTTTGTTTTCCTCCCAAAGTCCAAAGACATGACTGTTAGGTTAATTTGCATCTCTAAATTGTTCTTAGGTGTGAGAGTGTGTGTATGCATGGTTGTATGTCTCTGAGTTGCCCTGTGACAGACTGGCGACCTGTCCAGAGTGTACCCCACCTCTCGCCTATAGACTGCCTGTGGGAGACACCGGCCCCACCGTGACCCTGACAGGACTAAGTGGGAGAAAACAGATGGATGGAGGGAGGGAGGTATTGTATACCTTGTTTTGGCAATTTGTTTGCATGCAGCTATGTATTCTTTATTAAATAATTTACTTCATCCTACTGCTTCATTGAGATATGGATTTTATTGTATTTCACAGTCTTTGTTTTAAAAACCTGCCCAGCCTCACTAAGCTACCCGTTAATATCTGTGGCTGTGTTGACTTAATGTAGCCTCCGACATGTGTACTAGTCAAAGTATAATGCTGCTCAGTCTGTCTTCCAGTTTTGGTTTTTCTTCCAGATAAATTTTCTCAAGCTTTCTTTACATCCTTATATATGTTAAATTACACAACTATCACTCTATATAGTTCTATGTGTTCAATGTATTTCTTAATGACAAAAAACACAAATATGTTTAAAAAAACGTTTACCCTTTGTATGCATCTTTTCATAAAGGAATCAAGTTTCTGTATGATTGAAATAATAACTGCTGTGTTCCAGATCCAGATAGTCTGACCTTTGGTAGAGAGGCTCTGGAGCCTGAGCTTTGTGTTGTCATGGTGAGCACAGTGGTGATCCCCAGTCCCACTCTGGCCGGAGCCGCGTCCATATTGATCCAGAAGGACACCCAGGACAGGATGACGGTTAGCAGGCTCGGTATGTACATCTGGATCAGGTAGTAGCCCATTTGACGCTCCAGGTAGAACTTAACCTCTATGCAGGTGAATTTACCTGGGGGTAGAGGGTGAAACTGTCAAAGAACAAGAACTGCTAAAGAGTTAAAGCTGGAAAGTTTAACATAACCATAAACTCATTTTTTAACATTATTATATGTTGCTGAGTTTTTTTTATTCATAGTTAACTATTTGCTGTAGCGTACTTATTCAACATTATGAATTTTTCTTCTGTTTTTTTTAAACAATACACTTTAGTCACTTGAATTCCTTTTTTATTTTACAGTTAATCAATAATTTGTGAAGTGCATTTGTATTAGTCCCCTTTTGGGTTAAATACATAAAAGTTGGGTTAAATAACATAAAAGTCTGCTGCAACCTATGATTACATTCAGAAGTTTCCTAATTAGAACACAGAGTCCACTTATGTGTAATTTATTAGGAGAACCAAGAGATAAGACAGGGCTAGGTTAGACAACAATAATCCTTGCTGGGAAAATTATCTAGAAATAAGTAAAAATTTCATAAATTAGGTGTATTTACCCTTAATTTGAGTAGGTAAATTAGGTAGTTTGCCAATGGAATGAGTATTTTTACTCTTAAAATAAGATAATTAGATAACATGCACTTGAAATAAGACAATACAATTATTTTTTTAAATGTAAATGGTCTTATTCCATTGGTGAAATGTCTCTTTTACCTCCTTAATCCAAGAACAAATGCAGTTCTTTTAAGAAAAAATGACTTATCTAGATTTAAAAAAAATTTTCAGTGTATAAAACCTTGATCACAGCCGCTGCATAGTCAAACACAGCGATGGCAGCATAATAGAGTGGAAGTGATTTATTTTAGCTGTGACAGAGAAGCTGGAAAGAGTTCAAGGATAGTTGGATAAGGACGGCCCTACGGAAAATCTGTCAGATGCACCATAAAAGGGAATGCTGGGAACTATCAGCTGGACATTAGGCCTACAAACAGATGGGTTTAGAAAATAAGGTGCAACAATAAGTGCAGCTCAGATTTTTACTTTAAAGGGATTTTCTTGATCCTATTCTAGTTTGACCCATAAAATGTAAAACATAGCTTTGATTCGTTGGACAGCAGGACAGAAGGGAAAAATGCGGGACTGTCCTGCACAAATAAAAATCACAAAAGGTCACCAGCTGCAATTGCAGCAGACAGTTGTCCTTAATTATGAAATCTGAGGGAATTTATACAAATACTTCCAACAAGTCCTGTATTTTGCAACTTTGCTTTATTCTTTATAACATTTTTTACCACTTTCTGGTGCTCTATCTCATATGTTTCCTATAAAATAAATGCATTGAAGGTTAAGATTGTAATGTAACAAAATGAGAAAAATGAGTATGAATACTTTCCCAAGGTGCACTAGGTGGATCCATATTTAGCCTAGTTCCTTATAGGCAAAATAACCCAGATTCAGTTGGTCTTAGCCTCAGAGTTGTAGGGTGTTTTATGCACCAATAATTCATACAATCAGACATATTGTGTACCTGTGTTGTAGTGCTTGGTGCAGTAACCCAGACCTTTCTCTTCTTTCAGCACAAACTGAGGAAGCATCAGATCATGGGCCACCTGCACCGCTCCGACATCCAGCCATTCGAAAATAAGGTCATTCATGGTGTAGCCAACTAGGAAACAAAGAGAAGCTGCACTGTGAGCAATAAGCTCACTGACTAAGTCTGTTCACATGTTCTGTTTCCGCCTGCCATGTAGGATGAACTCACAGCTCTCGAGCTGCATCGTGCATGTCTGGCTGTCCATGGGGAAGTTTTTCAGATCCATCGGGCAGGAGAGAGTGAGTGTCAACCTTGAAGAAAAAAGCAGCAGAAAAGGGTTTCGGTCCAACTCTCACGTCAAACTAACCTCTCAACTTCCCTTTCCACTGAATTTAGGACAGTTGATAGGTTAAAATAAAATAGTGTTTTTAGATAGGAATATCTGATATAAATTTTATATCTCTAAAAAAAATAACTGTTAAATCTTTAGAGAAAACATTTCAGGCTTATAAAAAATTTGATTTCTAGTTTAGGATAAATTAGGGGTCTTCTACATTGGTCTCACTTTAAATGATTATGTTTGTTATCAAAACCTCCGTAGGTGGATAGGACAATTCATTGCATTCACAATATAATAATAATATGTAATAATTTGGTTTTAAAAAGCCCAGACGCATTTTTTTTTTTTTTTGCTTTGGTCTTGTTACATTAGACTTTTTCACTCCAGCCCTTTAATTCGTGGGACTATGCTCAAAGTGAATTTGCAGCCACACAGAAGGACTGTGGAAAGAAGAGCATTCAAGGCCGGGACAACAATTAAACCCTTGAGACTGTTAGTGCAGATGAAAAACTGAAATCAATTCACAATCTCAATTAAAGATATAGTGGAAGGTGTTCTTTTTCTGGGTGGATCATCAAAATAAGTGTTCCTCCTAATTGTCAATCATTGTGGTGATATGTTTACATAAGGCGTAAACTATAAAAAAAGGCGTAAACCTATGTGCTTGTCCCAATTTACCGGTGGTGAGTTTGACATAGTGTGAAAAATTGCAAGTCTTCTTTTGGAAAGTAAGCTTGTATGAGTGATACAAACAGACACATTTAAACAGAGCATGCATGAGGAGAAACGGGCTCCTGCATGCTCTCACACATGTTTAATAGGCATTCCTTTTCAGGAGAGGGTACAGGGATTTTTTTCTCCTTTTTCTTTCGAGTCTTTGAGGCTATAGAGGGGGAGAGACATGCGGCAAAGAACCACAGCTCAGATTCGAACCCGGGTCAGCCGCGTCGAGGACTAAGGGCTCCGTACATGGGTCGTGCACGCCAACCACTGTGCTACCTGCACGGCCAAATGCATTTTTGAATGAGTGGAGAGGGCGGGGCTTTTCAAAAATTTGCAAAAATCCTCCATTATACCTTTAAGCTCAACAGCCCTGATCCACGCTAGGCATTCTGAAATGAAACTTCCTTTATTCAAACCTCAGATATTGAGTCCAGTGTGATCCTGGTTGTCGATATGATTGTTAACGTGTGATTGTCGGTGTGATGGTGAGTATTAAAAAAGACTACAGAAGTGTAAGAATGTGGTTATTAATTTAAAGATGCCTTCAATTAATTTAAAATCAGCCTTTCTGACTGAAAAAAAAACTCTACAGGAGGAGGACGTTCAAAACAACTGCCAGAATGCCTCAATCCGATGCTAAGGATGCTGAGATCCTGACAGGACTCACAGCAGGGTCCAGACTTTGTTTAGATTAAAGTTTGTACCCCCATGTGCAAAGAGAAAACTTTGCATTTAAAAAAATAAACACAACAACGAGAGAGAGTGATGGTAAAAAACAAGTTCTGGAATAAAGTTCTTTGGACACCAGAAAAGAGAATATTTTTGGCGTAAACTAAATACAGAATTCTACGAGGAGAACCCAATGCATATTGTGAAGTATGGAGGGTGAGTGTCATGGTTTAGGGATGTGCTTCTACAGCAGGAGTGGATCTGCCCATGCATTAAGAAAATAAAGATGGACTCTGTAACAGGACAATGACCCAAAGCAAACCAGAAGATTAGCTGAAAGCTAGGACACAGAAAACCCCAGGCAGGGTCAAACACGGATCTAGATCTCACTGTGATGATGTGTGATGATTTGAAGCAGACTTTATAGGGGAAAACTCTTCCATTTTTCACCACATTTCTCACTGCAGATTAAATATTATGAGCATTAATTATATCCAACATTTGGGTATTATTATTTCGTTAGTTAGTTTTAGGTTTTTCTTTCCTCTGCCAAAGTTTACATGAGAAATCCAGAAACCAGCTAATGATTTGGCACATGTCTCAGAGAGGTGCTAACGGAGCTTCACACAGCGCCTCATGTGTCTGTTGTTCTAATTATATTTCAGTACCATTACGCTACATTTCACCACTGCTTCACTGCCCCTTTACTGACCTGATTTGGTTTTAGCCTGCAGTTACAGTTTAACATTAACTTGTTCACAGAGTGTGCTGGGTAGTACAATTACAAACGAGCTGAACTGGAGTGAGAAAAGCCCTTAGCTGGCCATACAGCATGCTCAGAGGTTTTTCATTTGAGTCAAGGAGGAGGAAGTTCAAATGTACATGACAGCCTGAGAAGCCTTCATAGATTTAGAGAGAATGAAGAAAAATCCCATGTAACCTGATGCTGTAGAGGACGTTTCCATTCTGGAATATCCGAAGAAGTTTGTTGTCGGTCGTAACTTCATGAAAGTTTGCTCCTTTTTCATTTGCAAAGAACAGATCAGGTTTCCAGATGGAGTCTAACATGGAGGGGTCTAAGTCCAGGGAGTCATCCGGATACTCCTTATAGGCAAGCCTGGGGTCATTCCACTGCTGCCGTAGAAATACATTTAGCCGGTAGTCCTAACAGCAAGAACACAAAAGGAAACTAATATTACTGCATGTCACAAATGGACTTATACTACCTAATAAGATTTTATCATTGTGCAAAACCGAGCATTAATATATTTTATATAGATGGAATGAGAAGTACATGGAAAATTATGCATAGTTTTTATTTTATTTTACAGCTAAGCATCCGTTTTTATTTGACCCCTTTCAACCCTGTGCAATCCTGTTGGCAGTATAAATGCATCTGTTTACATACAAGTAGTAATAAAGTGAGGAAAATAAAATCTGAAATTGCCATTGTAGGACTATGTGCACTGTCAGAGACATAATCTAAAAGAAAATTCCAGAAATAAAAAATGTATGATTTTTTTTACTATTTATGTGTATGATACAGCTGCAAATAAGTATTTGAACACTTGTCTATGAGCTAGATATCTACCAAAGTCCTGTTAGTCTGCCTTTAAGATGTCCACCTCAACTCCATTTATTATCCTAAATTAGATGCACATTTTTTAAGGTTGTTGGCTGCATAAAGACACCTGTGCACCCCATACAATCAGTAAAACTCCACCTACAGTACTAGCATGGCCAAGACCAAAGAGCTGTCCAAAGACACTAAATACAAAATTATACACCTCCACGAGGCTGAAAAGGGCTACGGGGAAAAGCGGCTTGGTGAAAAAAGGTCCACTGCTTAAGCAATCATTAGAAAATGGAAGAAGCTAAACACTACTGTCAATGCTCCATGCAAGATTTCCCCTCATGGGGGCCGTGTATTGGGAGATTTTTGGAAACAACCTCCTTCCCTCAGTTAGAGCACTAAAGATGGGTCGAGGCTCGGTCTTCCAACATAAAATGACCCAAAGCAAACAGCCAGGACAACCAAGGAGTGGCTCTGGAAGAAACATAGGTTCTGGTGTGGGCCAAAATCCATCCTGCAGTGTGTGCAACGTGGGGAAAAACTACAGGAAACATTTGACCTCTGTTACTGCAAACAAAGGTTACTGTACCAAATATTAATATTGATTTTCTCAGGTGTTCAAATACTTATTTGCAGCTGTATCATACAAATAAAGAGTCATACATTGTGATTTCTGGATTTTTTTTTTTTTTCTCTTACAGTGATCATGCACCTATGATAACGATTTCAGACCCCTCCATGATTTCTAAGTGGAAAAACTTTCAAAAAAGCAGAGTCAAATACTTTTCCCCCCACTGTTTATACTAGGCTATCTCACAAAGAATTGTTAGATTCATTGTCCAAAAGTGGACAGAGTAAGGCAAAACTGGAAACCTACAAACATGGCTGAACCAACTACATTTAATTTGTACAATCTAGAAGAACAACCATCAGAGGCTCCACAAATCAGGCCTTTATGATGCATTGACTCGAATAGAGTTATAGGATGTTCTGTTTAAGTTTAGAAGAAAGTGCTCTGCTCAGCTGAGGTCATAATCAAACTTTTTGATCTATGTAATAAATCAAATGAAAACAAACTCTGCACATCACCCGGTACACACACGATCCCACCAGTAAACTATGGTGGACGGAGGTTTTAGAAGGCCCTATTTCAAGCAGGAACAGTGATGATGGACAGAGTTGATACCAGTAAAATACTTGATGAAGCTGGCAAGATTGGCAGTGGATGAAGATTCTTTCTAACACAACAATGACTGTAAACAAACAGCCAGAGCTGCAGTGATCCACGCCATGGCCGCTACCTGACAGTGGCTGCCATCTTCCGTGGCCGCATGTCCATGAAGAAAGTGGATGAGCAGATGCTTAATGTGCAGAATAAGAACAGCAGCTACTTTGTTGAATGGATTCCTAACAATGTCAAGACTGCAGTCTGTGACATTCCTCCTCGTGGGCTCAAGATGGCTGCCACATTCATTGGCAATAGCACAGCCATTCAGGAGCTGTTCAAGCGCATTTCTGAACAGTTCACAGCTATGTTCAGGCGCAAAGCTTTCCTCCACTGGTACACCGGTGAGGGTATGGATGAAATCTAGTAGAAAATCCTTCTTCAAAGCATTGACTTTGGAGAGATGATTTTAAAAAGTACCGCACATTTTTTAGAATTATATTTCTAACCATTTAAAATTCTCCCTCCTTGTGCTACTTTGTGTACATCTAATTTTAAATAATTTCATTAAAAAAATGTGCAATTGCATGACATAACATTTGGAAATGCATCTCTATGATAAGGATGTCACTCTAACCACACAGCCTGACTGTGTGAAGACAAAATAAAATACAATAAACACCAACAAACACATCCAAGTGCTGTTAAACTTAATGTACTTTTAGCTTCAGTTAAATTTTTTATGCTTTTCATGAAGGTATTTTATGCACTCGTCTCTTTAATCTAAGCTTGAATAAATGAGTGCAGACAACTGCCAGAAACTTCATAGATAATGAATGCATTGCTGTGCGACAGAGACCAAAAGTTTTGCAATGAACTCAAGAGATTGTCTTTAGAGGTGCCAGAGTAACTCCTGCATGTTTAAACCATAAGGAAGTTGTGATCTGCAAACAGATGTGTCACTAAAATATATATTTTTTTACAGATTCAGTTGTTTCCCTTAATTGTAAGGTAAATGAAGGGGCTGGAAACACTTGCAGTTGTTTACAATTAAAACACTAAGTTAGAGAACAGATAAAGTCCTTGTAATTCAATTAAACTAAGATTATTTATATAGTGCCCAACTAACAAAACATGTAATCTCAAGGAACTTTACAGAGACAAATCAACCAGATCATACAGTCAAGTTGATTCAAAGTTTTCTATCTAAGGAAGACCAGTTGATTGCATCGACTCATTGACTCGAAGGCAATCCCTCACAACATGCTTGCTTGTAGCGACAGTGGAGAGGAAAAAAAAACCCTTTTAACAGGAAGACAACTCCAGCAGAACCAGACTTTTGTAACACATCATATAAACGTAAACCACAATTTTCACCTACGGTTTCATAAAGTCCAACTCTTCTTCCAAAGAGTTGGTCTCTATGAAGCTCATACTGGCTGTTCAGATCCATTCAGAGTGCCGCATGCTAATGTGCTAAGAGCATAATTATGTGCATCAGATTGTGTAATAAACACATTTCTTAGATCAGATAGAGTCTGGATTTCCAGACCCTGCAGTTCAAAGTTGTTATCAGTTTAGGACTACCTACCATGGTCAGAGGCATGACATTGATGGACTGACTTCAACAACAAAAAAAGACAGATTATGAGGGAAAAGCAGCCTTGTGCATGCAAATTATTCAGTTTTTCAGCAGAACGATGATCTAAAACATAAGGCCAAATCAAAACAAAAACTATTGACCAGAATTATTAAACAGAGAGCACCCGGAGTCTTGCTTGGACACATATATCCTATTAAGGAGGGGTTGTACAAACCGTGCAATATCCCCTGTTCCTGTTCTTTAAAGGTTTGCAACAAAACAGGTTGTAATATGTTGTCAAAAAGCTCTACTATATTTAAGCAAATTCAGTTTTTATGTTTATTTGCATGATACAAAATGTTGGTCTTTTTCTGTTTCTACAAAATTTTGAACAAAATGATAATGTTTTCTAACTACTTTAATCTTTATTGTCCTCTTTCTTGAACATTCTATTTGAAAAACTTGGCTGGAGACCTGGACGGGGCTGTTGGAGGTCCCTGACCCATTAGCAAGACCAGTGTCTGCTCCTTAATGCAAGGAGGAACAGGATGAGTACTAAACATTTGCTAAACTTTGCAATAAAAAATGCAAACTTAGTCACACCCATTGATTAATCTTGGCTAACTACAGCTAGTGTTACTTACAAAGATTGATTAACACAGAAAATGATTAGAGAATTTAAAAAAGTAGGACATTTTTTTGTATCTTTTAAAAATTATATTCAAAATGTTTTATTTGCTAAAAATAACGTGTATTGCTTTCTGGAAAAAATGGATTTTAACTGGGAAAAACAAGTAAATATATATCTATATCTATATGAAAAGTTCATTTGCAAAAACAGATAAAAAATTAGCTGAGACGTGTTATTTACTCTGCATGGTGCTGCTAATAAAAAGAAAGTTTTTTTGAAAATATATAAAAATTGAGTTATCTATTTTTGCAAATGAACTCTTCATATATACACATATATTGTTAGGAAAATAATATATAATAATATATATATAAAATAACTATTAACTAACCCATTTTGCAAGTTCTCCTACTTCTGTGAGAGACATAATCTGAAACCCAGAAATCACAATGTTTGATTTTTTAACCATTTATTTGTATGATGCAGCTGCAAATACACTATATTGCCAAAAGTATTTGCTCACCTGCCTTGACTCACATATGAGCTTAAGTGACATCCCGTTCCTAATCCATAGGGTTCAATATGACGTCGGTCCACCCTTTGCAGCTAGAACAGCTTCAACTCTTCTGGGAAGGCTGTCCACAAGGTTTAGGAGTGTGTTTATGGGAATTTTTGACCATTCTTCCAGAAGCGCATTTGTGAGGTCGCACACTGATGTTGGACGAGAAGGCCTGGCTCTCAGTCTCCGCTCTAATTCATCCCAAAGGTGTTCTATCGGGTTGAGGTCAGGACTCTGTGCAGGCCAGTCAAGTTCATCCACACCAGACTCTGTCATCCATGTCTTTATGGACCTTGCTTTGTGCACTGGTGCACAGTCATGTTGGAAGAGGAAGGGGCCAGCTCCAAACTGTTCCCACAAAGTTGGGAGCATGGAATTGTCCAAAATGTCTTGGTATGCTGAAGCATTCAGAGTTCCTTTCCTTGGAACTAAGGGGCCAAGCCCAGCTCCTGAAAAACAACCTCACACCATAATCCCCCCTCCACCAAACTTTACACTTGGCACAATGCAGTCAGACAAGTACCGTTCTCCTGGCAACCGCCAAACCCAGACCCGTCCATCAGATTGCCAGATGGAGAAGCGCGATTCGTCACTCCAGAGAACGCGTCTCCACTGCTCTAGAGTCCAGTGGCGGCGTGCTTTACACCACCGCATCCGACGCTTTGCATTGCACTTGGTGATGTATGGCTTGGATGCAGCTGCTCGACCATGGAAACCCATTCCATGAAGCTCTCTGCGCACTGTTCTTGAGCTAATCTGAAGGCCACATGAAGTTTGGAGGTCTGTAGTGATTGACTCTGCAGAAAGTTGGCGACCTCTTCGCACTATGCGCGTCAGCATCCGCTGACCCCGCTCCGTCAGTTTACGTGGCCTACCACTTCGTGGCTGAGTTGCTGTCGTTCCCAAACACTTCCATTTTCTTATAATACAGCTGACAGTTGACTGTGGAATATTTAGGAGCGAGGAAATTTCACGACTGGATTTGTTGCACAGGTGGCATCCTATCACAGTTCCACGCTGGAATTCACTGAGCTCCTGAGAGCGACCCATTCTTTCACAAATGTTTGTAAAAACAGTCTGCATGCCTAGGTGCTTGAATTTATACACCTGTGGCCATGGAAGTGATTGGAACACCTGATTCCAATAATTTGGATGGGTGAGCAAATACTTTTGGCAATATAGTGTAAGTATTTGAACACCATAGAAAACCAATGTTAATATTTGGCACAGTAGCCTTTGTTTGCAATTACAGAGGTTAAAGGTTTCCTGTATTTTTTCACCAGGTTTGCACACACTGCAGGAGGGATCTTGGCCCATTCCTCCACACAGCTTTTCCTCACTGTATACATATATATATGTGTGTGTGTTTGTCATCCAATGCAAATAAATGTCAATAAATTAAGGTTATTTGGATGCCATAGCTTTAACATGAGTGTTTAATAGAACAAACATGACTCACCATGGTTGTTTCTGTGATGGATCCAAAGCTGTTAATGAAGATGTTGCAGGTAACGTTGACAGGAGGACCTGACGGGAGCAAACTGTCACCAAACATTGCCTTAAAACACCTTCCCTATATACAAAATCTTGTTTTCTAAGCAGAATACACACATTACTGCACCCAACAACAAGCAAGGCTTGTCTCTAAATAAAAAAACTGCTTGTCAGGCCATGTTATAAGCCATTAAACTACAGCTACATATCACATTATGTTGTCATTCCTGGTACACTCCCATTAGTGTAACCCCTCTGCTGGTCTCTGAAGGTCTAAATATTTCATCCATTCTTTCTCTAGAAGCAATAACTTATTGATTTTGCTTTACTTACATTAGGGTATTTATAGATAATTGGTGGCATCTAGTGACAATGATTTGGAGCAAGAATGAAATAAAGATGAAACTCAACCCCGGGGGCTAAAGGCAGAAGCTTGTCAGAGAGAATCTGCTGGCTTCACTCACTGTGCTGCTCACGACTGGACTGAATTAGGCCTGTGGGATAACTTGCAAGGATGACTGCACACTTCTGTCAGAATAAAACGTGATGGAGAAGAAAAGAAAATCCTAACTCAAGGCTGTGGGTCAGCAGGGAGAACACTAGGTCAAAGCCCATGATTAAGGGGGGAAAGAATGTGTGTGAAATTATTCTCGCCTGTAGAAATCTCCCCCTCCTTGTTCATCTGTGTATGATTTGAACAATTTTGCTGCTCAGATTGTTTTATAAATCGGCTTTTCAAAAAACACCCCCTACCTTTGAAATTGGGTCTGATGCGAGCATCGTAGCCAGATGTTCGTCCCATCAACTTGTCCAGAAAGTCGGATGGAGACGGAGGGTTCTGCACCCTGCTGGGGAACTTCATCTCCTTACAGATCACAAATCTGGCAGGTGATAGGACAACCTGAGGAACATTTAATCTTTTCTACCTCTTAAAACATCTCAATCCTTAGCTAAACTTTAAACAACAATTTTTTTTATGTATCTTATCAAGAGTAATGATTTAATTTTAACACAACTTATAGGATAAAGCATCATACGTATTCAGTTGTACTCAGGATTACTTATGAAAAAATTATATTTTTTAAAAGTTTATCAGTTCCTCTCGAGTATCTTGGTATTTTAAATAGTTTTCAACATGGGAATGCGTTTATCCCAATAGGGGGATTGCACTGGAAAAAAATCGAAATCTAAATAAGTAATTTTTTTCTTAAAATAGGTGCATTTGTGCTTGAATTGAGGAGGTAAAACAGACATTTTGCCAATGGAACAAGACAATTTACACTTAAAATAAGAAAACACAACTGCATCTAATTATCTTATTTTAAGAGTAAAAATACTCATTCCATCACATTTACCTACTCAAATTAAGGGTAAATACACTATACTATACTCTATATCGTTTTTCCAGTGATAAAATATTGAACTCCAGCTTCTTCAGTATAAAGAAATGTTGCCGAGCCTTTCATTCATGGAAGCGCTCTGCATCATCTAGTCAAATGACATTAAATAGAGCAGGAACACAGTCCAGTAAATGCATTAACCTCAACAGAACTCTGAACGATTCCCATCATCAAAGCTCTTCCTACCTGCTTTGTAGAAAAATGACAAAATAAGACCAGACAATGCAGAAGTTGCTAAGAACCATTCCTGAAGGTTGAAGAAAGAAAAAAGAAACAAAACTAGAGGATGAAAAACAGCAAAGATGCAAGAAACTTCTTCTTCTTGCAGCTCTCCTGTTCTGGCCAACAGATAAGCTTCCCTCTCTCTGAGCAGGTGTAAAGCACAGGAAGCTGCTGCTGCTGCTGCTGTATAATTTAAAATCCAAGGGAAGATTTTTTTTTTTCTTTCTTCCTCAGTCTGTTTGTGTGGATGACTTCAAGCTTGATCTCTTTTTCATGTCCATGTGATTGCTCAAAGAATAACTGCAAGAGTATTTAAAGGAACAGCACGCTTCTCTGAGCCGGGTGGCACCACATAGAACCGTTTGAGTTTGGGAATATTTCAGATTCTGACAGCAGGTCTGAGAGTCAAATAAATACGTTCATAAAATAAAAATTTTGGTAATTAAAAAATGTAATTTCTCAAATGCTTAAATCTTTAAAATACTAAAGTAACAACCCATTTATCTGCACAGAAAATTAGAATAAAAAAAAAACATGGTTCAAGTTTTGTTTTATTTAACTATTGATTCATCAACTAAAAATATTAAACATTAGAAGAAAATAAACTGTTTTTGCTTTAGTTATTAAACATTAGTTAGAAACCATCATATCCATTAATTACATTTAAAACTACAGCAAAGAATGTTGTGATGGAGACATGCTATTATTTTTAAGAATCTTGTATTTGTTTTTTACATTTTATACTTTTTAACATAACTTGGCATTTATTTTTTATCAATAATAGCTGCTACATCACCCAGATGTCTATCATAAAAGATCAATGGGATTCCCTGCTTAAAGGTTAAAAAAAATCAAATAAGTAAATAAAACAATTAATTTAACAGGGCGACCACTAATGTATAAAAAAAATACTTGTCAGTAAATACAGGATTAATTCACGTTTTATATTTTTCTTTTTATCTTGTGACTATTAAAATATGATCACTTTAAGAACTGTAATAGATTAATATTTATTTGGCTGCTCAAATGAAGAGTGGCAATAAAATAGTCACTTTAGTAAATAAAAACAAAAAGATTGGCAGCAGAAACAATACTTAAACCTTTAGGCTAAATTTATGTTCCATGATTTAAATTTTGATGCACTGATGATGCGCATCGTTGCTCCAATTACCTCCAATGCAGCTCAAGCATAAACTAATTTCTAAAAGGTCTTTCGTCAGTCTCTGGTCTGTTTTTATCTCATTTTTGTTATGAAGGAAAATGTAAAGCCAGATGCTGAAGCTCATGTTTACTCCCCGCACGCACAGGAGGCGGCAGCTCCAACCACTTACTCGTGTAAAATTAATGTCAGACAACGCGATGGGATGTAACGGCTGCACGTGTTCGCCTCGCACTTGAAAGCCCCTTCTGCACTTTGCTTTGAGGCCCAGTGTCAAATGAAATCAAGGATGTGTAATAAAATAAAGCACAAGAGCCTTCGTAATAACAAGGAGCCCAAAATGGAAAAAATTCTGCATGCTTGCTCATTTTTTACTCTCAGAAAAAAAAAAAAATAATAGGCCAAGCTTCAATCTGGTCATTTTGTGGGAGTCGGACGCTAGATTTTCTAAATATAAACTTTGTCACTTTTTAAACATCACCAGCTGTTCTATTTCACACAATAAAAAGTGTTTTTAAATGAGCTGAGACATTAATTGCTCCCTCCATCTCTTTAGGAAGTGAAATGCCACGCAACATGGACTGATTCAAATTCCTGAGGACAGATGGAGTTGAAGCCCACTGACTGCAACAACCACCTAAAACGATCACAGCTCTGGATGGAGGTCACTGCAGCTGCTCATCACTGCCATTATCTGGAGGCAAAGCTGAAAAAAATCATCAAGTCCAATTTAAAAATAGCCTTTATTGTCGCTTTTCTTACATCAAGCTGCTCCGATCACACAGAGGGAGAGCAGTTCAGCTTTTTTTGTTTTTTTTTTGGGGTGGGGGAAATCACACAAATGACGGTGAAAGGAAAAAATGATGATCTTATGTGGGGGTAAACCCAAACACAAGCAAAATAAAACAGCAGATACAAACTCCAAATATGAAAATATCAACAGTTTAATACACATTGATCCTCTCATTTGGTAGACATGTTTCGTTTTAACGAAGGTGGCGATCACTGCCAGAGTTCGCTCTTTCTAAGTTAAACTCTCTCCCCTGAGTGTCAGCCTCCAGCAGCTTAGTCCTCGTGGATGTTGAACAGCTTTGCCACCTCGTTCAGATCTGCATGCTCCTCTCCGTCCTTAATGATCTACAAGTTAACACCAGAAAAAGCCTTAATTAAAAAGATCTTTTCAATCCTTCCAGTAACATGCAGGAGAAAAGCACGGGGTAGTACCTTTCTGGCAATGGGCATCCTGTTAAACACGTTCCACAGGATGATCCCCACCACCACTTTGTCTCTCAGGTAGAAGATGACTCCTTTTCCGTATTCGTCCTTGTGCTGGACGGCAGGAGACGGCGTGGTAGAGGCCACTGCGCTGGAAGCAGTGTCCTCCGTCTCACTCTCTGAGCGGATCCCAGTACCTGGAACACCATCAATATGAACCTTTGCTCACTTCATAACTTTCACTCTCATGCTACATTTGCACCTAAAGCAGCAGGAGCAGCAAAAACGCACGTGCTGCTTCATTTTTTATGCTTGTACAAGTTTAGTTCTGATGCGCGGTTGAAGCATCTTTGCTGCTCTAACTGCACGGTGGAAAAGTGGGTCTGATGCGCGTTGGGCGGAGCGACCCTATCCTTTCTTTGCCTTTAACAATGGCAGCTATATTTTCTGTGATCAGTGGGTAAAAAGTAGCTTTAATATGTTTTAAAGTGAGAAAGTCCACCTGAAAACTTCATCTGTGCAGTCAGTTCATCAAGGTTACAATCCTGCCTTCAAATATTATTTCGCTGTTGGATTTGCTCAGAACCCCTGTATACTGGGGTTGAACTGTCACTAGGAATCCTGTTCTACAGCAGCCTCTGGCCCAGTGGCCTCTCAGGGTTTTCAGCTACTGTTCGCAGCAGCTGGAAGTAGATGTTTACATTTTTCCCGTACGTAATCCAAACTTCAGGCACAAGATTAATAAAATTGAACATATTTTACTGGCAGGTTTCAACATTTTAAGTTAATTTAGGTGTTGATGAACTTTCTGTGGAGTGATCATAGTGATTTGTATTTTCCCAACTTCAGCAGCTGCTGCTTCTGAAGCGCGTTGCACGTGTCAGATGCTCAGAAGCTTATGACGCGCTGTTTCAGCTGCCAGGACGCGCTGCTCCTGCTACTCAAAACGCGGTGCAGGACCTTTTGCTGCACCTTGATGTGTGTCAACCATTGACTTTGCATGTAAAACAAGCTGCTTCTGCTGCCTGTGCTGCTTGTGGTGTGAACGTAGCATCAGCATTTATTTTTTCCACTGTATTATTATTTCCGCTCTAACAACGTAGTCCTTGCCTTGCACCATACATGCCGCAGATCAGCACAAAGTACAGCATGGTTCCCAAATGGAAGGAAAATGATCAATGTCTTTTTTTTTACATCAACACTTTACATGTAGAAATTTATCAGAGCTTTTTCTCATGCTTTTTACCAACTTGTTTAGCTATAATACTGTCTTCTGTCTCTCAGTACCTGCATCATTTATGTCCCAGTAAAAGAAAATATCTCTTGATTTACTTTTATTTTACTCAACCTTCTCTCAATAATGCCGTAATGCCCCTAATACAGCATCGATTTTCAATCGATCCTATCAATACTTTTTCAGGACTGGTTATAAGTTTTCAGCCCTACTAATATGGGATTGTACAGATTTCTGAGCAGGGCTGAAAAAAGCAAGGACTGGGACCGAAATGTACATTTTCACAAAAAAGAAAAATAATTGCCCTGGAATTTGGCATATTTCAGTCCAATAACCAAACCAAGAGCGCTCGTACCCGACTCCTCAGTAGCAGCTTTGGGCGTGTCCTTAGCAGTGGCCTTGGCAAACACTCCTACTGTCGGCAGGCTGCTGTCAACGATCCCAATAGCCTCATAGCCGACATCGGGTCCCAGATCACTCCTGTGAAAACAACAGATCTCAGAACAGCCGCTTCAGAACCAAATTATTATGTTGCAGTAAATAAACCATAAGTAGAACAAACTACAACTAAAAAGTATGACTGAACGATTTTGGTAAAACTTAAAAATAAAAAACTGCTATTTTGCTTTGATTTCTCTTTGCACTAACCACTAGCATGTAAATGTTTCACTGCAGGGTTTCATAGTTTTCATGACCTTGAGTTTATTAAAGTTTATTTATCCAGAGGCCAATTTTAGCAGGACTTTACTGTTACTGTTTCTATTAAATTACTTACTTATAGTCTATGTTAAGCGAATTACTGCCACCTAGAGGGCTGGACTCATCAGCTTCTTACTGTTAAATGGAATATGACGAAAACTGAGTGGATTTGAATATTTTGTTTAGTTAAAATTGCAAATATATTGCAAATGCAATTAACTGAAAAGCCCTTCCAAAAATTTAAAACACACAAACAAAAAAGAAAAATGATACAACTGCTTCTACATAATGAACCCACCAGAACATAGACTGATGCCAGTAAGGTTTGCTGGCTCCCGTCATGTTCTCTCCAGCGAGCCTCCCACTGACCACGGCATGGTCATGGTGCTCGACCCGCCGGCGGCCAAGCCTGATGTCATAGAAACAGGCTGCATCTCCAGCCTAATATAAAACAAAGAGGAATTTAGAAAAAAAGACCACTAAACATAGTTTATAAGACTCAATATTAGGAACACAAACATGGCACCTTTTCCTACTAAACTTTTTCTTCCACTAACTTTCTATTAACATCCTTGAATGCAGGAGTCTAAACAATGACTTTATTTAACAATACGCTTTGTGGCTTCCCCACACTGATTTCTAGAAATCTGTAAAGTCAGATTTTCTCTGTAGGTCAAATTATTTCTATTACATAACATCTATATTTTAAATGATTACTCACCACTTTGGTTTATGAGGCACTGAATGCTGTTGTAATTTACTGTATGAATAATATATCTATACTTTCTGAGATGAGGAAAATAAATTGTGGTTAGGATGGTCTTAAGGATTCAACAAACATTTGCTACTCATAAACTGGAAATTGATTAATTTTATTTGGTAATTTGTTCC